CAAGCGTTCCCAGGACGCGCGGTCGAGCTTGCGAATGGTATGGCTGGTGCCGTCGACTAAGAAATTGGGCTCGAAGAGGGCATAGATCAGCCGTGCGGGTTGTTCAGCTGCGTCCGTAGCGACAGGAATGGAAGTGGCGTACATGAGAACGCAGGTCTCGAAGGAAGGGACCAGCTCTCCAAGGGTTAGCATGGATGGACGAGATAGGAGCGCTGCTGACGCTGCTGATCGTCTTCGACGCAGAGTGCGGCCTTCGTCGGTGGCGGTAGGGCAGACTTGAGTGAATGCGTCCATCATTGCCACTTGCTTCGAGGGAAGGCAGTCGGCGAGTACTGGTAATATTGTGTGCTGTCGATGATGCTGATGCTGATGCGAATGTTGTGAAGGTAGGGTGACGATGGATACAGAGAACCGAGTGGACGAATGAAAGGTCGAACGGCGAGTCAAGATGCAAGAGAAGTCGACCGTCGTATACCATCTGTGCGTAGTAAAGCAGTTCGGAGCAACGCAGGTGGCAAGTGTGGCAATTCTCACTGCCGAATTAAGTACAAAGCAAGCAAGGGACGCCGCTTCAAGAGTATCGAATCGGCAGAGCATTCACACCAACTCAAGGAGTGGGTCGTGCCGTTTCTGATTGGTATCTGGTGGCTTGAGTGGAGCCTGTGTGCAGCAGCATGCAGGGTGCATGCTGCATGGCTCCCCTTAGTGGGATTGTATGCTGTTGGAGTTTCGGTGGGGCATTGTTGCTATGCGCGCTCTTTAGGAAGAGGTCCAAGCGCAACGCACACTTGAAGCCAAGCAGAGCCGAAGTATGTCGTGTATGCAACTTGAGGAGGTTCGACCGCTTGCAAGCCGGTCAGCATAAATGCGTTGTTGGTGGGATCACAGCAAGGTGGGATGCATCTAGGCGCTTTTCGTCAGAGTGTTTCTGTTCGGCAGGCGACAGACCCGAGTTCCAGATGGAGTCCCAGGATGAACGCCACCTTGCTTCAAGTTGACTCGGCTCTCATTTTCGCCCCTTGTTTGAAGATGGCGAAGCAGCATCTGCAGCCTCGGCCTCTTCGTTCTCCAGCAGCGCTTTGATCTTGCGATTCTCGCTCTCGATACGAAGGCTCTCCATGATATAGTCTAGACCTGTCCCAGGATCGTGCTCGCCCTCCATAATAGCATCGATGCCGTTCAAGCTGAGGTTGACACGGTGGTCCGTAACGCGATCCTGAGGGAAGTTATAGGTGCGAATACGGTCGCTTCGGTCCATACTGGCCACTTGGGCGAGCCTGCGTTCTCGGTTTCCCTCCACTTCTTGCTTCAGTCTGCGGTCGAGCAACCTGGCACGCAGCACCGCCCACGCTTTTGTTCGATTCTGGTGCTGCGAACGGCTGTCCTGCATCGAAACTGAGATGCCCGTCGGCTCGTGGGTCAGTCGAATGGCAGATTCGGTCTTGTTGACGTGCTGTCCACCTGCTCCGCGTGATCGCATCACTTCAACCTTGACATCTTTGGGATCCACCAAGTCGTCCGCCTTGTTCTCTGATCCTTCCGAGATGGGCAACACCATGACGGCGATCGTGGAGGTCTGGAGCTTGCCCAAGCTCTGCGTGGCCGGTATGCGCTGCACACGGTGTACACCAGCTTCAAACTTGAGTTTCTGGAATACGCCCTTGCCCTTGACCTCGATGATCGCTTCCTTGAGTCCAGAACCCGATCCTGAAGAAGAGGTAGAGACATCCACGCTTGTACTGGACAGCATTTCAACCTGCCATTCTCCTGACCCGTCTTCTTCGACTGGCTTCTGCTCGCAGAATCGCTCGTACATGCGTGCCACCTCGGCTGTGAAGAGAGTCGACTCTTGACCGCCAACACCAGGTCGAACTTCGAGCACTGCACCTACGGCCTGGGCTTCGATCGCATCGGTGACGGATGCCAGGATGAGCTGCTCCATGTCTGCTTTCAAAGACGACAGCTCTTCTTCGAGAAGGGGTATTTCTTCGGATGCGAGTGCGCGCATGTCTTCGTCAGGGTCGGATTCACTCATGCTGATTGTGCTGATGAGTTGATTGCGCTTGACCGAAAAGGCTTCCCACGCTTGTCGGAGAGGATCGAGCTCTTTGAGTTGTTTGCCAATCTCCGCACTATCGGCGCCTTCTGCTGCTTCTAGCAGACGCTGACGCCTGTTCATTCTGAGCTTTGCAAGGCGCACTACCGGATCACGGTCGATTTCTAGGGAAGGGCCCTCTGAATCGGATGCTCCACCGCCAGCCTTGGCTGCGTATGGGCGAGCTCCAGTAGGTACTGTGATGGGTGCTATTGTTCGCCACGGTGTTGAGGATATTGAAATTGCTGGTGCTGTGCTCTTCTGCGGTGCAGACAACTTCTGTGCATAGTGAGCTCGTTTTGAGTGAGAGGCAGCGAAGGGCAACTTGTGCTCTGGAACCCTGGCAGCTCTGGAGAGAGTTGAAGCGGGAAAGCCTCGAAGTAGACAGAGATTTCCGCCGGTCATCGTTGCTGTTTGTTCCTTTATAGCCTGAGCTGCTGTTTTTGAGCCGTGTCGATGTGCCATCGGTGTGTAAGGAAAGGTGTAAGTATCACAGCGAATGGTCTTGCAAGGAAGCTTTCCTGTCAGAACTCTAAGAAGAAAGTCTTTCTTCGCATCGGATCTCGGACCCTGTTTGCACCGTCCGCGATCCGAAAAAATCAAAGTTCGTTCCGCGAAGCCAAAGTCTAACACTGTGAGCAAAATTGCAGGAGATGGTGCCATGACTGGAAGGGTCCTCGTCATCCTGAACGATAAGGCCGCAGGTACAAGAGCTGTCAAAAGAAAACGACCGTGTGGGTTACGGCGCTGATAGCGTGCTCGGTTTAGAATCACGACACTGCTCAACCCAACATGTCGTTTCCTCGGTTTGCCTGAGTGATGGAAGAGATTGCTGAAGCGTCTTTTTGTCGTTTCGACAAGAAGTGTCTGCATCAGCAACCTCGCCGATGTCGTGTGTACGCACCTATCGAAACGACTCGACGTGACCGGGACGGTACTCTCCTTGGCCTCCCAAAAATGTCCCTGCAGCGTGTCCCCTCCGTGACTCTACTCCGCCGGTAGCTGCCCCTTGACCAGCCTCTTGCGGGGTAGTACTGTATAGAGACATGCCACAAATGTCCACTGTCCGCCAGGCTACGGATCTTATAGCTCAGGGTCTTGTCATCGTGTGTGTCGTTCGTTTCTCTCCACGACGGTCCATCTCCCCATAGCAGCCATCCGATCAAACCGTAGTCACACTTTGACATCTTGACCGTATCCAGCTACTTTTTGCAAGATGGCCCCAGCCAAGAGAAAAAATTCCACTGCCAGCACTTCACCCACGACCATGCCTTCTCAAGTCGACGAGGGCGAACAGCTACTCAACAAAGACGGCACTCGCCGCAAGTCTCGCGTGCTGCGTCGCAAGACAGACCACTCGATCATCGAGCGACGCCGAAGGGAAAAGATCAACGAGAAGCTCGTCGCCCTGCAGAACATCGTTCCCGCGTGCCGCAAGGAGTGTCAGGACCTCATCGAGCGCAAATTCGTCACACCTCTCAAAGAGAGGGAAGATAACAACGATGCGGCCAGCAGCCCTGCAGCCAAGAGGAACCCAAAGCGCAAGCGCGAGGAGGATAAGCTCAACAAGGCGAGGAACGAGATGAGCGAAAAGGTTCGGACGAGCATGGTGCTTGAGAAGCTCTGCATCATCAGTCACACGCTTGATTTTGTGGTCAAGCTGCAGGAGGAGAACAAGGCGCTGCGAGCCTTGTGCGACTGCCAAGCTGAGCGCAGGGCCTCAATCAGCAGCGATGTTGAGCTCGACGAACACTACCGCAGCGCACACAATTACGAGAACTTGCAAGAAAGCCGCTCGCAAGAATACTCGGATACAACATACTCGAGTGAGGCTGGTCACCGCACATCTTCATCCCCTTCATCATCGGCCCGAGAGAGCTTGCCGCAAGACGAGCAACAGCAGAGGCCAGCCAAGCGAAGACTGCACTGGGGCAGCGACGAAGTCCGTGAGGCATCAATCCGCAGTGACACATGTCGCCACAAGTGCGGTGCCACTTCTCCGAATGAGCCTTGCCATCGTTCCCGTTCGTCTTCGCTGACCAAGGTCGAAGCTGCCCACAATTCGATCGGAGACACCACGACTCTCTCCGCACCACCACAAATACAAAACGGCCGAGAAACGTGCGGCTCATCTTTACCATGCATCACTTCGTCTTCGGAGACAGGCTCTTGCCACTCGTTCTGCCGCACACGACACTCTTGCTGTCGAGAGGAAGAGCAGGGCTCCGAACTCTCGTCGGACGCTTCGGACGACCTTGCTTCCCCCCCGCCCTGCACGGTTAAGTGGCCAGCGATCAGCGCTGGTGGCCAAGTTGGATACTTGGGTCGCCAGCGATTGCCACCTATCGTAAATCTCGGTCTGCCGAAGCAAGACTCTCAATTTTCCTCCGCGCTGAGACAAGACACGATTGCCTCGCTCTATCGCAGAGATCTGCCAAGAGCGCCTGAGATGAGCGCTTCCAGAGCTTTCCGCCCCCTGTCTCTTTATACGTCCCATTCTCAACCCCCCGCTATGTCCAGTGTAAAACAGTAGATATCCTCGCAATGGAAAGCAAGCGGAACAAGAAATCATTCTTGAAGAGCGTACTTCTGTGACAAGCCTTGACAACCGTGGTGTGACGATGGTGAGGGGTCTTACTGTGAGATCCACCACTTTTTACATGATAGATGCCTCCACAAGAACTTAGCAGGGACGTGGTCATAACGCAACCCTATACCCAGACCCTGCAATGCAACAGGCAGCCTGTGGCCAAACTGCAACACCACAACAAAAAGTCTCATCTTCAGCAGCAGAACTGTTGAGCACAGATCGTTGAAGATTGTGTGCAAGCTAGGAACGTTACAGTATTTTCAAGATCGATTAGAAACAGCGGTACATATATGCAATATAGAACAAGAAAGTTACGCAGTCTTAGTATAGTGGTTAGTACAGCTCGTTGTGGCTTGTGGTCACTTGAGTTAGCAAGGCCTTTGCGCCGAGCAGACGGATGTTCGATTCCTCCAGACTGCATTTCTTTTGATGTGTTTTCTTTTTTGATCAGAGGACATAAATACCACTCTCATCTCAGTCAGGCGCTTGCGAGTTCATGCTGCTATTCTAGTATGGTGTCTACTTCTGTTTTTGGAACGATCCGACCACCCCTTGATTTCCGCTGGTACCTTCACATCTCGGTTGAGCCGAGGATGACAGAAAGTGTGCTTTTGTAGAGTTGAGTTGAAGTTGATTTTTGAGCCAAAGTCGCGGGGTCATTCGGCCCCCGTTGACGCTTTTCCGGGGCCAGGCTGAACTGAGTGTGGAATTTCTGTAAAATTTCCAATCGAAGTAGATCTCTCTCCACACGCTTGTCACCCACAGAGAGGAGAGAGAGAGAGAGAGAGAGAGAGAGAGAGAGATGGGCAGTGCACCACACACCACATCGCACCGCACACACCCATCCGCTAAACACTCGAGCCGTATTCGCCATTGAGGTGCTGACTGCATCTCTACAACTTCAGGAACGGCAGGTTGTTTGCTTGTCATCGTCTCTCCCTCTCTCACACACCTTCCCGCTCTCGCTTCTCCTATCCTATTCACATTTCATTAGCGTTGCCCATTCATCCCACATCCATCTTGGCATTCTAACGCGCACACGGACGACTCACTTTCGGCTGTTGTCAAAAGACCATTTCGTCATCGCCAACTCCAGATTGCTTCACGTCGCCCCTCGAGAATCCATCGTCTCACCGCTTTATCGAAGCACAATCAGCTGAAGCGATCATCAACACCTCATCTGCCCGCTAAGAGATCCACGTCACGCTACACTCAGTTCGCAGCAACAAAAGCACAACAACCGGCCCGCTTGAGCGCCGCTCTTGACATTGCCTTCTCAGCATCGACCCCCGTCAACGGCATACCTTACCGCATTGTGGCAGGCAGTCAGCATCTCGCTCAAAAGCTCACATCTCAATTTGACTGACGCTACTTTCACCGACACTGCTATGAGTTGCTCACAATCGTAGAGCCTAGTCGCAAGCTACAATGAACCTTTGCGACGATCTTTGATTTCAGACCGACTTTTCTTTCCTAGCAGCAGCAACATCGGACACCGCTCTCCACGACCGTACAGCAAAGCTCTTAGCGTGTCCGGCTCTTGTCGTCATGCTTGACACAAACGGCGTCTCGCGGTCCAAGCCTCGACCAACGAGGACACGCAGACGGCGATTAAATGCAACAAAACTAGCCGGAGCAACACCCACCTTGTTGGCTCTTCTTTTCAGCTCTTTCTACATTGTTGTATCTGCGTCCTCTTCGTCGCAGAGACCAGCAACAAGCGAATCACACGGCGCCAGGCTGCCCATCCTCGACAATGCATTCTCTACAGGTCAGGGCACCGGGACAGATCATTTGACCGACCACACCCCTCGAAGCACTTCAACGGATGCACCAGAATCTTTGAACCGCCGCAAGCATGTCACCTTTCAGGACGTTGACCAGCAACAAGGCTCGTCCACATCCGACCGCGTGCTTGTCGGGACTTCCGACGACTCAACGTCTCCATCCATGCTTCGATACGAGAACTTGCCCTTGGCCGAGCTCGATGCGGTGCTAGATGCAGAGTCAGGCGCGGCCTCCTTGCCTCAGTCTGGTTCTCATCCTGAACAGCAGACAGATCCTCGTCGATACGAAACGCAACGATCAGCGGGTCACTCCAGCCTCTACAACCAAGACCTTGTTGGCAAGCAAACCGGCAGTGGTTACGTCTTTGTTCGCCACCCAGATCCTAATCTCTCTATCACAGGTGCTGGCGCAGCTCTCGTCACACTCTTCTCACGGCGCGATTCGCCCGTCAGTCGACCTCCTCTAGTACCCAACTCGAACTCGAGACTGTTGATTGGGCTCGTCATCGTCTGCATTATTGCTGTTGGAGTGCTCACGCTTGCAGCCCAGGAGATGTATAGGCGCATGCAGACACTTGGACAACCTCGCTCGCCACTCCGAAGAAGGTCAGGCGAGGGTCGATCATCACGCCCGCCTTTCCGCAGCGACTCGAGCTACACCCCTCTCACGTCCAACGGACTCGCAGCACCATCGTTGGAGGAGGAGGAAGAGCGCATAAAGACTCCACCGACTCTCTCACGACGCAGCAGCGCCGCAGCTTCGTCATTAGCTCCCTCACCGCATAATGAAACCGGCCCAGACTCGGACGACGAAGAGTATGAGCGCAAATCGCCGAATGACTTGCACTATCTTTCGCTTCCGTTCGGCATCGGTATCGGGTACAGCTACGCCAACATCGCAGACAACCGTGATGCCAGGACCCGAATCACGCGGCTAGCAGCTAAACGATCGCGGCGTCACTCTGGTTCCACTTTGGCACTCTCGACGGGCGCACTGCCCATTCCTGGCACCGGCGCAGTCAACGGCACAGATGGGCTTCGATCGCGCTCTCGCTCGTTCAAGGAGCTCTGCCGCGATGCCTTTGGCAGCACCGCATCTCGGGACATCAGCATCATCTCGGAAGAGGAGGACGACAGCGACATGACGACGGTCTCCACGCCAAGATGGGGATCTAGCCTGGTCTCGCTCGATCTGTCGGGATCGGACAGAGGCAGCGGCACAGTGACACCAACTGGTCCAAGCGCTGGTGGTGGAGGCACATTCTTGACTTCTCCGACATCGAGCATCGCGCTCGAAGATCTAGCGTCGTCTCAGGGATCGTCGGCGAAAGGCCGCTACTTTGGTGTCGAAAACGGCAGCGCTGCCTCAGGTGGTCACACGTTGATCGATCTCGGGCTCGGAACACCCGAGCTGGCCGTGTCGGATCCTGACGGCATCACTCGACCTGCTTCAACGCCAGGAGTAATGCCTTCTCAGGTCGCCCGTCATCCTCAGGTCGAACAGCTTCGTCGTGAGGGAAGATCCGAAACGGGAAAGAGGGTGGGCAAGGGTACTCCGACCAATGCTAAGCTGTTTTAGATTCCGTGATTCGTCATTCATTCATGACTACTGTACTTTTCTGCAATGCCATTTACTCATGTCTTCACAGTGCCAAAGATTTTCGATGTTATTGGATTCAACGCTATTGTCCGTGTATAGAATGCACATTTGAGTCAAAGTAGAGAAGCTTGTCGACTACTGGATGAGGCATGACTTCGCTGCACCGCTACTTGCATCTTCGTCAACCTCCTTGATGGTGATACTGCCATGATGATTTGTCACTGTACAAACGTCGCCTCTCAAGCCCGAGGCTGTACTGGGTACGATCTTGGCCGTACCTCTATGCTTATGCGGCTGCGGATCGAGCAGTTTAAACCTCTGCTGCATTGCTGGCGAGACTTTGAGGGTGCCTGTTTCGCTGCTCCAATTGAGGAGGCCGGAGAAGGAGGTGGGGAGGAAGAGAGTGATGTTTCCGTTGGAAGTTTTGGCGCGGATGTTGAGTGGTCGGCTTCCGGAGTATGTTGGGATGGTGAGCGATATTGATCCCATAGAGCCGGTTTTGGCACTGATGAAGATGGGTTTCTCGCCGGGCTTCTTGCCTGTTGCTGCCGCTGTTGTTGTTGTGGTGGTGGTGGTTGTGGGTGATACATTTGAGGAGGATTGAGGTCTTTTTTCCTTGATGATGTGAATAGTGGCACTGATGGGACTACTCTTTGTCACAAGCACACAAGAAGCAGCATTCTCGACCTCATCTTCTGGCCGTGGTCGATCGTATACTGGAGGTGAAGCGTCTGGGGCAGAAGCGCCGATGGCAAGAGTTTTTTTGATAGAAGCATTGGGCCAGTCGATATGGATGTGACGATGTGCTTTGAGTCCACTCGATCCAGCATTGTGATGAGGCTGCCACAGTGCGTCCCGCCGCTGTTGCTCTTCGTACGCCTCGTCGTCGTCGCCTTGGATAGGTCCAGCTGCTGACATGGTGTCCTACTTGGTATTTTGCGATGTTGGATCTTGACCAGTTGGCGGGTGAAGAAGGACGGAGAGCAAAGCTGGACGCAACCAATGACGTTCAACAACTGAGCTGCTACAAGCAGAGCCAGAGACGGGGTCGTGCGAGTGATACAGAGCAAGCTCCTGCCTTCTGCAGTGCGTGACCCTTACAGCTCGCCCATCGGTGATTTTTTTGAATTTTTTTTTTTTTTTTTTGGAGGAAATAAGCTTATCCCTCCACACAGAAAGGACCCTTTTTCCGAGCTTTATTTTGTTTTTTTTTTTATAGCGTGTGGGTTGGCTCTGTGGGTTCCAGAAAAATCTTCGGCTCGCAAGGAAGCTGAATCACACTTTTGGTCACAATGCATCTTCTGCAAGAGATGCAAATTTGGGCTTCGAACGGGATGATTTGGATCAAAGTCTGATGTCAACCGGCTAGAAGGACTGCTACACTCAGCTTCGCATAGACGCCACAGATGGGAAAATGTAGGCTGTGTCGATCTTGCTTCAGAAAATGTGACAAAGGCGGTAAGCCGCGGGATTTAGGTCGACTCGCACCCACCACTTTGATGGAAAGGTTACAACTTGACAAGAATGTAATTGGACAAAGAGCCTCTTGAAAGTCGCAGAGTGGTCATGGGTACTATACAGTACAGTACAGTACTGTATGCACCTTCGGGACCTTGGCTTTGACCCAAATGTTGTTCAATCGAGTGCCAAAAAACAATACACCGAGATCCGATTGGACCATGTTTCGCAGCTTCACACATGCGCGTTTTGTGTGCACAAAACACAACAAAGGGGCCATAATTTCGGTTCATCTCCTTCTTCAGCACGAGCAAAAGACTCCGCAAGGGCATACAATAGACAAATCTGTCTAGGGCATACAGTACATCTGGGTCAACTCGACCAAACCTTGCCTGGTGTCCGAGTTGTCGGGTTCTTATTGTTGCAAGAAAAACAAGACTTCCCAAGCTGCCCGTCCGTGCGCGTGCAGGAGAATAGTTCACCGATGCCAAGCACGAGAAAAAAGGGCATCTGTTGTGCGAAAAGAATTCTCGGTTCGACGATTCCATATTGTTCGCCATACCATTTCCTCACAT